CCCGTGCTGCCATTTCTTTGTGTTTTAATATACTAGAGGACCAAGAAATGGAAGTCATTCAGGCCTCTGAGTTTCTGGGGGCCCGAAGTTGGCAACTGAGGTGAAAAGACAAGTAGACTCAGTCCAGTGAAACAGAGGTCCTGGCAGGGTTTCTAGGCACCCTCTTCTCCATCATTGCTCATTGATCTCTGTGCTCCTATCTGAACCTACGGCAACCGATGTGGATAGGAACAGGTGATAAGACAGACAGCGCTGCAGATGCTCCCCACCTCTACTGCACAGAGAGATGCCCGGGCTTCTCGCTTTCCCCCCTGAGGATCCAGCCCCGTTCTTCACTGCTGACCAGCGAGCCCTACTCAAGACAAATGCCAGCCGTTTGGTGGGAAGATAGACTCAGACTACTACTTTACTTTGAAGTAGGTTCAAGCGTTAAAATAACTGAGTTTTTTTGCTCGTGTTTGTTTATCTTAACGCTGTAGGAACTATATGAAGAAATAAAGATATCTTGAGATGTCTTGAGAATGACTGGCTTCCATCTTTCTGAAGAGCAAGTCGATAACACACGTGAGAAGTCTCAGCATGTGAGTACCCTTTCACTCAGCGAGCAATTCCACTTCTAGGCATGTATCCTCAAGAAGTAATCAGGAACGGAGGTAACATTAAGGACGTTTATTGTAGCATTATGTATACCACATGTTATCCAATGTGGTGTCATCAATTGCAGGATTTGCTATTATTTTATGTCCAACTAAAGAAGAAAGAAAAATGTGATTCTTTGTGTGTGTGTGTGTGTGTAGAGATTATTGCCTTAGGGCACATTTGCTCACCAGAGTGAGAGAGAGAGAGACAGAGACAGTGAGACATCATCCCCCAGTGGGGGGACAGCCATGCCATAATCCCTTCTCCTCCATTCTTCTCCCGGGGCCATGTGCCCAGTGTGATTTTTCAAGCCACCAGGTCTGAGACTTGAACCATGGTCTGCTGCATGGGAGTCCAGTGATGTATCTGCTAAGCCACCTGCTGGTCCCAAATAACATGATTTTTTAAAAAAAACTATAAATACCCACCAATTTCAGAGATATAAATATATACCAAAAAAGTCCATCCTAGAATCAATGAAATACAGACTGATAAAATAGGGAAAAAATTTCAATGCCCAAAATTAGGGCATTTAAAATAATTTAAATAAGTAATTCACATACATTAAAACAATTAATCTATACAATTCTTATCCTGTCCCTAGAGGGAAAAATCTCTGATCGTGTCCTCTAGACTGATAAATGTGTTACTGTTCATTCTTATTAGGGCAGCCTGTGGTCACATGGCTTAAAGGCCACGCCTCCTTTCCTTTTCATCACCTGTGTCCCCACTGTGTGCTACACATGGCAGAGTCATGAGCTTTTCGGCAAAGTCCTTGTCCTTAGAGTACACAGAGGAGGCTGGCCCAAAGTCAATACTGTCTTACAATAAGGACTTAAATATTATATCATAGCATAGAGACCATGCCTACTTATTAATCCAGATATTCTTCTCTTTGGGCATTTGAGTGTTTTATTTACTCACAGTGGATACTAATACAATTGCTCCAAGGAGTTAAGTGAGTTAAACACAGACTCATGTCTTGCCAAAATGAAGAAAGGGATCTTCTAACTTTCTTTGCTGGGTTTGATTCCAGGGGGAATTGACACTTTACTGCAATGTTCCCCTCTTCCCCCCTCCAAAAAAAAAAACGAAACAAAATAAAACCCCTAAACACCAATATACTGTGTGCTTGGTTTTTAGCTCTGTCTCAATACTGTATTCCTAGAGAAGACACCATCAAAGCAGTGGTAGGTGACTGCTTTGGGCTCAGTGTGGCCAAAACATTCATTTAGTAAGTCAGTCAGTCATAGTTGTCCTGCGTGGTGTGCTTCCTGATATGGGCTAACCTTTGAGCATCATTTTCTTCAGTATTAAGCTATCCTTGGCTGCTACAGCCCACACTGGTCTTGCACCCTCTAGTCATCTGCATGAGGGCTTCTCATTCTCAGCACTGTCGACTTTTCAGATAAGGAAGTCTGTGTTGTAGGGCACCATCCTGTGCCCTGTAGGAAGTTTCGCAGCATCCCTGGTATCCGCCCACTACATGTCATCAGCAGCCTCTCCCCAGATGACAAACAAAAATATTTCCAGGGGGACAAAGTCATCCCAGTTGAGAGCCACTAACCTAGTTATTCTAATTATTATATCATTATTCCAATACAATGATATAATATAACAATTATATAATTATTCTAATGTTCCTAATTATTCCCAAAGTTACTCCTTTGGGATCTGTCATATGCCACCTAATGAAAACAGATTTTTACATGTGGAGCTTCTGGCTCCCAGCTAAACTGCATGCTCCTTGAGGGAAAGAACGAAGTCTTATGTATATGTGATTGGCCTGCTAGGATCTTGACAGTAGTCTTTACATGTAAAAAGTATTCAAGGTAAGCCCAGTGAGCTATGGTTGGTACTAAATAGTCAACGGTATTTTACAAGTTTCTCTCTGCGCAAAATCAAAGTAAACATATTGAGCAATCCATGAGTAAACCTACAACTTAAGAAAATACTACAACTAGGACTCACCCCTCCCCCCCAAAAAAAACAGAGTACAAATTCTTGTGAGCAGTTTTTGCATATTAATATAAAAAACCTTTTGCTTTGATCCTAGAAGAGTTAAAAAAAAATCCTTCAGAAACCCAGAAGGAAGTTACTGACCTGTGGGTTAAAGTTGACAGTGATCAGCTTTGTCTCTGGGTCCCGTTTCAGAAGCGGTCTGGAAAGATTGTACTGGGACTTCTCTGACACCGTCTGACACCAGTCTTCATAAAGTCCTGTCTCATACCTGAGAGGAGCAGAGACAACAGCTACCTCATAAGCAGCCTCCCAGCTCCCCAACACCTGGTCATGATCTCAAACATGAGCTGGAGACAGTAGACTGGATCTGCCCTTGCAGGCATCCTCTCATTTCTAAACGTGGCATAGCTTAAATCAGAGGAGGCTAGGAAGACGCCACGTGATCTTTTGGCAGGATAAGGGAAGTTGTGATTAGTCTCAGTGAATGTTGGAAGAAGTTACTGCATACAATTAGCTCCCACAGTAACCTTCATGTCGCTCATGGACATTTGCCAGTCATCACATATCAGATGGGCACCTCCCATGTGCTGGCTCGAGGGGTAAAACAGTGAAAAAAAAAGCCTCGTGGTAAATGCAGCTATGGATGGGGACCACGAACAAACTGATCATCATAACGAAATGGTTAGTGTAATCCTAGAGAAATGTACAGAGCATCAGGCATCTAATGGCAGAGGTGTGGGGCTGGAGGAGGATCAGGAAAAGGTCAGGGAAGGTTCATGGAGAGATGATGAAGTCCTGCTTGACTGAGTCTCAGAGGATGGGCAAGGGGTGGATGGGGAAGCAGGGGGAGCATTCCCGGTGGAAGCGACAGCGTGGTCAAAGGCGGAGGCGAGAAAGA